GGGCTGGACATTATTTTGTGGGAATATTTAGACTGATGGTCTAAACACCCTGCTTTCTCAGATTTTTACATCCTGCCTAACCCTGACTCACATACCACATGAGTGGACAAAGGCAAAAGCTGTATTCTTACCAAAAGGAGGCAAGGCCGCACATGTGAAACCGAAGAATTTCAGGCCTATAAGCCTCACTTCATTCTTCCTTAAAACTCTAGAGAGGCTCATCGACGAATATATTCGACGGAATATAAAAAATTACAACCTCTCCCCGAACCAACATGCATATTCCAAAGGTAAATCCGTGGATACCGCACTCCATGAAATCGTATCGACGATTGAAAAAGGATTGGCCTTAAAGGAATACACGCTCGGAGTTTTTCTCGATATCGAGGGTGCTTTCAACAACGTCTACCCGAAGTCTGTTGTTAACTCCCTTCTCATGGCGGGGGTGCAGCGGGGTCTGGTGGATTTTGTTGGGCTCCTTCTTGAGAAGAGAACTATTCTATCAGAACTGGGGGATGGTTCCATCACAAAGTGTGTGACCAGAGGCACCCCCCAAGGGGGCGTTCTCTCCCCTCTGCTCTGGAATCTAACAGTGAACACCCTACTTCTAAGCCTAAAGGGCACCGGTTGTCAAGTCATAGCGTACGCTGATGACATAGCAATCGTGGCAACGGGCAAACATCTTCAGGTCCTGAGTGAGTTATTGCAAAACGCACTCGGTCTGGTAAACATCTGGTCCAAGGAATGTGGACTTACCGTCAATCCTACCAAAACGGAAATGGTACTTTTTACAAGGAAGTATAAAACTCCCTTATTTAAACCTCCCACCCTAAACGGAGTGGCACTTACTCCCTCAACCGAGGTCAAATACCTTGGAATTATTCTAGACAAAAAAACTTGACTGGAAGCGGAACATTGAAGACCGCTCCAGAAAGGCCAATACCGCCCTTTATGCCAGTAAGACGGCAATAGGCAAAAAATGGGGAATAAAACCACACATAGTACACTGGATGTACACAGCTGTGATAAAACCCATCCTTTTCTACGGGGTCACCGTATGGTGGCCTGCGCTAAACAACACTTTGTCCAGAGCCAAGGTGGAACGGGTGCAGAGGACGGCTGCCATGCTAGTCCCGGGAGCACTGCCCACTACTCCTACCAAATCTCTGGAAATAATGTTAAATCTTCCACCTGTGGATCTCTACGGAAAATTTCGTGCCGGCTGCAGTGCGGTCAGGTTAAATACAATCCAGCCGTGGAGAGACCTCAGGTTCGGACACGCAAAAGTACTTAAAACTCTACCGGATAATCTACGACAGATAGATTCTACCACTCCTCTACTCTGCTTAGACAACAAATTCTCCACAAGGATCCCAGAGAGGAACAAATGGGAAGGGGCCACAGACCTGAACCCAGGGTCTACGGCCATATATACAGATGGTTCCAAGCTTAACAAAAGAGTGGGTAGCGGGATCTACTCTGACGAACTCGCGCCAAACCTCAGTTTTCGCTTACCGGACCATTGTAGTGTTTTTCAAGCAGAATTAAACGCCATAATGGAGGCGGCACGGTGGGTTACAGCCTCCGCCCCTCCAGGACGGCCTATTGCTATCTATTCTGACAGCCAGGCTGCTATCAAATCTCTCAATTCTAACGGAACAACGCCCAAAGTAGCCATAGAATGCAGGAAGATTCTCAACCTGATGGCATCAAAATGCTCCTTGACTGTTGTATGGGTCCCCGGACATAGGGACATTCCTGGCAACTGCCTAGCCGACGAGCTGGAAAGGAGAGGGACGGAAATATCTGAAGTGAATTCTGCTCAGAACGCGGGCATACCTCTAACCTCCTGCAAACACAGACTAATGACGGAACTCGTCGAGGAGGTAAATTTCAGGTGGGCTGTGGAAACCACCTGCCATACTACCAGGCAAATTTGGCCAAAAATTGATGTAAAGCGATCCATAGCTCTTACCCTGCTGGACCGCTCCTCTCTCAGATTAGTAGTTGGGGTTATCACCGGACACTGCCTGATGGGTACACACGGAAAAAGGCTAGGATACCCCACCAACGATTTTTGTCGCAGTTGCAGAGACGAGGAAGAGGTGGAGACCGTTGAACACTATCTCTGCCATTGTCCCGCCCTGGCCAACACGCGCAACCGATTCTTCAACAAGTACTTTCTAGATTGTTTAGCCGATTTGAGCTCGGCGAACGTCCTCGACTTTTTGTGTTATATAAAGCGCACTCGGTGGTTCAATTACTAAGGAAGGGAAAGAAATAAATGGCTTCGGCCAATGGTATCACAACGGGCTTTTCCAGCCCACGTGTGCTCCGCGCTCGGCGCGGGGCTGCCACTCCAACCTAACCTAACCTAACCTAAAGGATACCAGAAAACTTATACTTTCTTAAGTCCAAAAATATCCA